CAGAATAAGAATATTTGATATTTATTCGTAGAACAAATGTCTTTAAAAGAACAAAGCACAAAGAGAACTTACTCTTTTAAGATTACAATAATAATAATAATAATAATCTGTTCTTCCTATTGTTTCATGCGCTTTAAGCAAGAAAGCAAACTTCAGCAGCAGTCAACAGCATTCTAAGTTTAAAAGACTACAAACACACAAGTTATTTCGTCATCTCTGACGAAGTTATTTCGTCATCTCTACCAACTCGTCGACCTCGTGTCAGCTGTTACAAACTTAAAAGCCACAAAATTCTTAACTTTTCATACTGCCATGAAACTAAGTAAATTATGGGACATCATGAGTGCCACAGAAGAGTAATAATTCAAGACTAACCTGTTTACTTCCAAAATTTTTATACCAAATGAATGGTCTTATCTAATAAACTTATAACAAAATACAGTGTAACATACCTGTGAACCGAGAAGACTTTGTCCGCAGGTTGCATAAGATGTGTATATCAACAAAGGAACCTCTCTTCACGGGGTTCATTAGTGTCGTTTAGCCTTCTTTGTACCTTGGATTCATCAATATAGCTTTGATATAAATAAGTAAAAAAACCCCATATGGCGAGAAACAAAGCAATGATCTTCACACCATTCATCTTGTCATGGAAAACTATAAGAGCTGCAAGGGGTGTAATGGCTAAGGACACAGTACTGATAGCATTGGAGAAGAGGGACGACACGACGAAAATCAAGGCAACGATGCCGACCGAACATGTCTGCCAAGCCACAGCAGTCCCGACCAAAGTCAACACATAAGAAACTGTTCCCTTGCCAAAGCTTGCCATTTCATTAGGCAAACTCTTCCATTCAGCACTAGCGAAAAGAGCTAAAACAGAGACAATTGTGGCAACCAAAGATGTATAGATTTGCATTTCCAACACCACAGAAAAGGTCTCCTTCTTCATAACCTTCTGAAAGGAAAGCTCCATAAGAGAAAGGATTAAAGCATATAAAGCTGAAGCTGCAAGGGAACAAATGAATCCAATGAAATATTTCGACTTAGAGACTCCAACAGGATGTTCTGGATCATCGTTGACAGCTAAAAGTGCAGAAGACGAGGAAAGGATAATCACAGAGTTTAAAATCAAAATTGTGAACTTTTGGGAGTTGATGAAGTAGGAGAAAACTGCATTGAAAGCTAATTGGCTAGCACAAACAAGTGAGTAAGTGGAGGCAGAAAGGTACACCAGCCCAGCTGAATACAACCAGTTATCAAGAGCCATAAGGGAACCAAGCGAAAAATAGATTAACAAAAGAATTAGCATGGATGGTGGGTTAGCGGAAGAAGAAGTATCCATGGGGGAACGGATAAGGAAGAAGGGGATAAAAAGAATTGGGAAGGCAGCAGTTTGAACAATAGTTGCCATCCATTTACTACTCCCACCCTGATCATAGTAAAATCTCCCTAGCAAAACAGCAGCAGCTTGACCCACAATGAGGAAAAATATGTTGAGTGACACAAAGAGCCACCATTCCCAGCGTTTTAGATTAGCTAAAGGAAGTTCATTACCAGAAGTTTCTTCTTCATCCAGTATTGATTGTTGGTTATCTGTATTTGATATGAGAAAAAAATAAAAATAAAAAGAGTTTTAGATTAGCTAAAGGAAGTTCATTACCAGAAGTTCCCTCTTCTTCCACTATTGATTGTTGGTTATCTGTATTTGATATGGAAAAAAGTAAAAATGAAAAGAGTTAGGTACGAGTAGAAAGGAAATGGAATTAGCAAATAAGAAACTGGATAGGTTTTTGAAATCAGATCATGAGGATAATTGAACTGACAGTGCAAACAAGTATTTTGGGGGTAGAAAAAGGATGGTCATTGAGGAACAAAAGCTAAACTAAGACATAAAAGTCATGGAAAAGAAGCACGAACACAAACACAAGATATACACACGGTTCAACACAAACAGGCTGACACGTTAGTTTTTTAAAAAATACTAAGATACAGGGGCAACAAGGACAACGGTCATAATCACATTCTTATGGTAGAGAGACAGCGATTGTGCAGCACCTATTTTAACCCAACGAACAAGTCAGCCGTGAGAAATTCGGACTTCGCAGACAACGTTGGCATATGCTCAAGCCTCAAGTCACGTTTGAGAGAAATGTTTTGAAAAACGTGATCAAGAAAATACATTGAAAACAATGTTATAAGCTAAAAGCGATCAGTCAACAATAACAGTTTTGCTAGCATATAACCCAGGTCAGAAGAAGTGATGACTAATCATATCCCCTATAGTACATTTTGGGATATTTTAGCCTTGACAATCGTACACATGATTTTAGTGAAGGATCATACACCCCTGTATTGATACAACATTAAATAGTAAAAGTTTATCTAAGATGAAAGCATGTAAAAGGGGTTTGGAATGGATATGCGGCCATGATTACACGTCTTGGACAAGCATGACCGAGAAATCCGATGTACGGCCATGACCATGACATAAAGAGCGTATAGAAAATAAAGAACCAGAAGTTTCAGTACTTCATAGACTCAATGGAAGAAGCCAGTGTCCACGAAGTGAACATATTTAAAGACAGAGAGATTTTCTTAAAAAAAAAAAACTCTCAAGAATCTTCAATCTCCCTCTTTTCAAAAGCAAAGAGAGATTGCCAGAAGAATGTGTATAATCGGACCAGTAAATCAAAAGAGACTGTACAGCATTAAGGAGGCCACTTCAATTAGCCATCCAAACATCACAAAAAAACAGTATATAAAATTAAAAAAAAAAAAAAAAAATCCCGTCAGAAACCATTCTTCAGGTAGGAATTAACATATTGCTAACGGGGCTACTTCGATCAAACGATTCAAATCAATTCATCATGGATTAACAATAGAGCATTAAATGAACAAACAAAACAAAAAGAATCAAACACGATTTCACTCTCATTCCAAACAACTCAAACCCACAATCCCTAATAAAACAGTAGGCCATGAACGTCAAGAACTCAACGAAAAGACCTAAATAGAAAACAAGGAAAATTTCAACTCAACCGAGCCTCAGAATAATACACAAAAACGCAAAAACAGAAATCTAAGCTTGAGAATTCCATTAACGTCTCTCTTTCTCCATGATTCTAAGCATCAATGAAATCAAATTTCTGAGTGCATTACGAATTTAAACCATATCTAAACAACCATTGATTCAACTACTTGAGAATGAAAATTGAAAGAGAGAAAAACCTGTCATGCTGTTGAAACGGGAAGAAGCTCTGCCTCGGAAACAGAGAAGCAGATTGGAAAAAGGGCTTTCGGTTTCTTTTTTTTTTTTTTTGCTTTTGAAGAGAATTGAATTTAATCGTTAATTAATTAATTATGCTGATTTGGAGCTCTTAAAAGGCGCCACGTGTACATCAGCAGCTCCAACATTGATTCCTAAATAGTCGGATTATAAATTTCCTAAGAACCTATTAGAATTTTATGAAAACATTAGGACTAAATAGACCAACTTCCAGTAGAAGAGAGATACATATATAAATCCAGACCACATCTGATTCAGACCAATTTTAAGAATGATTTTCCTAAGATGCATGTAAGTGAAAATAAAACATGTCGGAAAGACTTGTGTCGATCTATATAGATAATCTTCACTCTTAGAAGCGAGGAGTAGATAAAGTAATCATGTCCAAGAGAATGTCGAGGCCATTAAGGGTCGGAGACGGGATTATATTTTCATCACCTTTCAACACATATAAATATATATAATGATTTTTGGGCCATATTAAAAAAATTAAATTAGTTAATTTTAAGACTCTAATGGTAATATTTTAATGATTAAAAATATGTTTATCGGATTCATTTTTTACATTTTATGAACATTATTAAACTAAAATATAAGATAGATTCTTAATCTAACACGAAATTGAAAGATTAGAGCATAAAATTCAATATCAAACCTAATAAATCAGTTGGTTTTTAAATTTTTCAAAGAAATTAGTGACGGATGGAGACAAAATTGAAAGTTTAGAGATCTATTAGAATTTTTTTTTTTTTTTTTTTTTTTTTTT